CACCCAGAAGGACCCCTGGCCTCTCTGTCCCCTTCAGTGGGGACATCGCCCCGGACATGGGGCCTGGCGCCGGGTCCTCTGCCGGCACCACCTCCCTGGGTCACGCACACACCGTGGATCCACGAGGACGTTGTGAGCAATCCTTTCCTCCTCCCGTCTCCTTTGAAAACTGTCCTGGTGGAGCTGTGTAATCCTGGCGGGGAGAGCAGCGCTGGGTGTGGTCTGTGCTCTGAAGTGGCCGAGGAGCCGTGGGGTCTTCGGGGACTCGGGCGGGAGGCGAGGGTCTCGCCATCCACGTGCTCTCAGCTGCTGCGAAGCGCGAACCCCGGCTGCTCCTGGCGCAGAGCCGAGCGAAGGGTCCGGGGACGCGGGGCCTGTTCTTGGGTGGGTCCCGTGGGGTCGAGGCGCGGCCGACGGCGGGGCCGGCTCCCAGGCCGCATGTGGGAGAGGGTCTGTTTTCTCTTTAACGGCGGTAAATGTGTAACATGAAATTCACCATCTTTGACCACGTTTACGAGAGCAGTTCAGTGGCAGGCGGTCCGTTCACACGGCACAGCCATCACCGCGAGGACTTCGCACCCTCTCGGACGGACACCCTGGGCCGTGGCACAGCCCCCGCCCCGCCCGGCCCTGCACCCGCCGCCTGCTTTCTCTGTGGGTGTGTCTGTACAGGGCTCACAGGTGTGGCCTCAGCCAGGGTGTTCCTCTGTGTCTGGCGCGTGTCGCTCGTTAACATCTCAGCGTTCCTTCGTGCTGTCGCAGTGCCGGCACCTCCTTCCTGTTAGGGGTGAGTCATGTCCCACGGCGTGGCCGGACCACGTGCTATCCCTCCGCCATCAGTGGACACTCGGGCTCGTCCACCTTTTGGCTCCCGTGACTCGTGCTGCTGTGCACGTGGGTGTGTGATTTCACCATCTTGCGTCAAGGCCTTCGCTGCGGTTAGAAACCAGTGTCCACACCGTCTTCCTTGTGAGGGGTGGAGGGTGCGTGGTCCCCAAAGCTGGGTCTGCGGCCGAGTCCCGTGAGCCCTGTGCGCGGCCCGGGCTTGGTCCTGCTGCTCCCCGTCTCCCCCATCCTCCCGGGCCCTGGCGTTTGAGGAACGGCCTCCTGGAGGTGAGTGGGACTTGCTGGCGCCACTGGCCGGGGGAATCAGCAGGGCCCGCTCCGGCATCTCTCACCTGTCACTCCAGGTGCCCCTCGGGGAGGTGCGAAAGGTGGAGGCGACTGTATAGAAAGAGGAAGTAGGTTTTACCTCCAAGCACGTTCGTCAGAGAGGGGGCCTGGCCCCTGGCACTGGCCACCCGATGGAGAGGGCAGTGTTGTGGCCCGTGATCCGGGCTGTGGCCGTGCGGTTCCCCCCAGGGCCCACCCCGCACCAGTGCATCTGATCTCGGGGCTGAGCTGGAACCGGCCAGCGCTGGGTCTGGGAGTCACAGGCACGGCCGGTGGAGGACGGGGTGCGAAGGCGAGGCCGACAGTGCGGCTGCGCTCCCTGGCGTCTCTCCAGGGAGCGAGGGATCCTTTCTGCCGCCGTGGGATCCATGCTGTACCCCTCACCACCCCCAGATCCTGCGGACCCTGCACCCCAATACGCACAGCCTGTGCTCTCTGGACAGGAGGTCAAGGCCGACCCTGGGCAGCGCCTGTAATCCCACCGTCAGGGTCTGTCCCCACGAACGTGGCCTCGACCATGGCCTCACTTTAGATTCTGCGCTCGCGTCCCCCCCCCCCCCACTCCGGTCCCCGTGCGCGTGCCGGGAGGGGCCTGCTCACCTCGGCCCCGAGGCTGTGACACGCTTGTCCGTCAGCAGCCTCGGGCCGATCGGGGAGCCTCCAGAAGCTTCCGTGACTTAGTCATGGATTCCACGGAGCAGGGGCAGCGGACCGGCGGGGCGGGGGGAGTATTTGGCGAGGGAAGAGCTGCAGAACATATTCTTGCTTCGGATCATTTTTCCTAGACTTTTTCTGGGCGACAAGCCATTTAGGAATGTTTGTTACGTGCCTAAGAGCAGGAGTTGCTTTCGCTTTGTTCCCCTGCCAGTGCGGGGAGCCACGGTGCTCCGTGTTCACTGACGGTTTCTCCTTCCTTCTGCCCGCAGTGACCGACCTGCAGGAGGAGGGCAAGAACGCCATCAACTCGCCGATGTCGCCGGCCTTGGCGGACCTGCACCCCGAGGACACCCTGCTAGGTACCGTGGGCTCGCCGACCCCCCGCTGTGCGCCGACCCCCTGCAGAGTGATGGCCCAGTGACGGCCGAGTGACGGCTGAGCCCCGCGGCGTGCGCCCGGCCCTGGGGGGGGCGGGACGCCTGGTGCTCGCGGCCTCTTGTTCAGACATCGCACCGGGCGCCTGTGGGAGGCTGGCTCTGAGCACGAGGTCGTGTGTGAGAAGCGTGAGGAGGAACAAGTCGCTGCTCCCTGGTTAGGGGTGTGAGTTTTTTTGGGGTGTAGGTCTGGGGAGCCAACAGGTAGGAGACGACTGAATGCCGTGGGAGGACCGTTGCCACAGTGAGAAGCCTCCGAAAATCAGACACACGAGTAACCCCCCTCCCCCGCCCCCCATCTCTGCAGGCCGGCTGCCCCGCCCGGACCTGCTGGCAGGACCTGCCAGGCGTACCCGCCTCCTCGGGCCACGTCCCGGTCGGCACTGGTGAGGGGACGGCCCGCACACGTTCCCCTAAAGCAGCGGTTCCCTCCCAACCTGTGGGTCGCGACCCCTTTGGCGGTCGAACGACCCTTTCACAGGGGTCGCCTAAGACCATCCTGCATATCAGATATTTACATTACGATTCATAACAGTAGCAACATGACAGTTATGAAGTAGCAACGAAAATAATGTTATGGTTGGGTCACCACATGAGGAACTGTATTTAAAGGGCCAGGAGGTTGAGAACCACTGTCCTAAAGCGTGCCGTGGGACCCGCGCAGTCGGACGGCAGTGGCGGAACATTCTGTCTGCTTCCAAAGCCTGGTTCAAAGGGAAGTCCCGGCGGACGCCTCCGCTGTGGTTTCCGCAACAGGGCGGCCAGCGAGGGCTCCGGGAAAGGCCAGCGCACGTTGGCGGCCGCCCCAGGCCAATGCTGGCCGAGCTCCCTGGGCCGGCGGCTCCTCCCTCCTCCCTCCTCCCTCCTCCCTCCTCCCTCCTCCTGGCAGAGCGTGGCTCCTCGTGGTCATGCTGCTGAGGGTCTATGGTCTGGGCCCGCTGTGTGTCGGACCGAATGCTCCTGGCTGACTGTCTTATGAGCGAGTCCCTCGCGTATCCGCTGCTGTAGCCCCATGGTGGGCCACAGGTATCTCTTCGCGACGGCCTTGCCCTGGGCCTGTCCTTAGAAGAACTGCATAGTGTCACCGTCAGGACGCACCCAACAATGTGGCCTCCTATTTTGTTTATGAAGGTTTCGACACTCACTCCTGGCTGATCTCAGCTCAGTGCCTGTTGGAGAAGAAAAGAGACCCTTCACCCGCCGCGCCGC